CCGACCGAAATGTTATGTGGAAATCAATTTTAATAAAGACAATAATCTACAAAGTATAGGGAATAATTAAAAACATAGTAAACCTCACACAATAGGACAAGTCAAATGTCAATTTTTGATATATAAAAAAAAAAACATATTTTAAATATGCGAATGTGGTTCCATAATTCTGACAAAGACAATATCTGAATTTGGATTTTCAATTTTCATTCTATAAAATATGCAATCATATTTCAGCAATGGTGGAGAGTTGCATTAATTATATTTACAGGAAAGGAGATTATGTTAAAAAAAAGATATTTGTAATGTAAATGACATTTGAAATCTTTTTTAGTCTATAGCCTGATGAATTTAGATATAGAAAAAAGACGACACATACGGACCTATATATTTATAAATATATATTAAATATATGTGTAAATCTTTTCTGTGTGTATGTTAGGAATATTGGCTGATTAATGTGTAAACAAATATTTATAATTAGATAGATAGATAGATAGATAGATAGATAGATAGATAGATAGATAGATAGATAGATAGATAGTTCGTACACATCACAATAAAAACTCTTTGTTTTCCTGCAAGCTATCAGCTGTAATTATGAACACTTTATGCACATCTACGAGTAATATGGTATATATACTTCAAATACTGAAGTCATTCCAACATATGAAATAAATATACGTAGAGACATGTTCCGTATAAGATTCACTTAGTAAATTTTCTGTATTTCATGGTTATATATACCCAACCCATACGTATATATATATATATATATATATATATATATATATATATATATATATATATATATATATATATATGTATATATGTGTGTGTGTGTGTATGTATGTGTGTGTGTGTACAGGGGTGCGCTCATGCGCGTGCCTGTGTGTGTAACCAATTATCCGTTATCTTATCTGAAAACAAGAAAACACATAAAATATTAAAACGAACCTTGTTTGTCATCTTCAATAACACTTGCTTACATGAAAAAATGCTGCCAATGTGTGTGTGTGTGTGTTTGTGTGTGTGTGTGTGTGTGTAAAAACCGTTAATAATTTTACTGGAGTCTTGTTTGCATATTTTAAAACCTAATCTCGTCTTATAAACAAGACTACGAAACACGTTCCGGACTCAGGTAATCTAAGTCAGCCTGTACGAAACAACTTTAAATATGTAACATAATAATTTCTATTCACATCGAAATTCTTAAGAGGATAGCGGTGTCGTACGAGTGACATAAACTATATTTTAAAATTACATTCTTTCTTCCAAAATATCAGTAGGGCGATCTTCTGGGCAACTTTTATGTTGATGTTACCTGGGACACTGTTAGTAAAATTGTCCATTTCTTTTCTAAATAGGCCCAGAGCTTCGATAACTATTGGTACAGTTTTCATTCCCCACATCCTGTTAAACTCAATATCCAGGTTCTTGTATTTGGACAATTTCTCGATAATTTTCTCTCAAATGGTACTGCTATTGTCAATAAATCTCGAATTTCTTGACTTTTATGATAATATCAGTTCTGTTGGCTTATTATTATTATTATTATTATTATTATTATTATTATGGACACACTACCTATTTGTCGTCGTTGAATTTTTTTTTTTTTTTTTTTTTTTCCGATGGTTGCTAGCGTTACATAGACAAAGTTATTATTATTATTATTATTATTTGTCGTCGTTGAATTTTCACCCCGGTCCTATCTCGTGGTTTTCAATAAATCAATTGACAACAAGTCTCTTGGATCCTCCGTTGCTTTCCTCGTTATTATTTGCCTTATTTCTCATTATTTATACTCAATAGTTGACGTCCCGCTACCAACTAGTGACTTTCTTCAGTGGCGATCGTGTGAAAACAGGTCTCCTCATTCAGTCAATATATTTGCTGATTTCAGTTATGTTATCGTTGTCTAGGTGGCTTTGATTCGGCCTCACATTCCAAGTTCTTACAATTACTTTGTAAAAATTTTCAGGACTGCTCGAAGTAATCTAATAACAATAAGAAGAATAGTCAAATTTCTATTTTTGAACTTCATTATTATTATTATTATTATTATTATTATTATTATTATTATTACCTTTTTTTCATATATTTGCATGCTCACACCAGTTGTTGGGTTATTGCCAGCGCGGATGAAGTGTAAATAATTTCCAGCACCCTCCTCAGGATTCGTACTGACTTTAGTAATGCTCTAGTCTGGAGGGTTTAACTCTTCTCCCTCCTACTCCTACTCCTCCCCCTCCCCGACCTAATTTCTTCTTCTTCTTCTTCTTCTTCTTCTTCTTATTATTATTATTATTATTATTATTATTATTATTATTATTATTATTATTATCAAATGATCACACGAGTAGATTTTGAAGTATGATTAAGTTTACTAAAAATACAGCATTTTCCTCACTGTTATTTTAAATTCTTTCATATTTATACTTCGAATTCTTTTGCAATTCTCTTCGAAATCATTTTCAACAGGCGAGTAATTATAAGAAGATAAGCGTCACTTTGATATTTCACGAGGAGTTTTTCTTTCTTTATCCATATCATTATTCTTCCTTAGACGTTGTTTTATTATTATTATTATTATTATTATTATTATTAAATATTTTATTGTCATTAACAGTAGTATTCTCTAGATGTTATTTATTTTCTTCCTCTTAGTTTTTCTGTCTTTAATATTCTTTTCTTGTTGTCATCACCATCATCACCATTGTTGTTGTTGTTGTTATTATTATTATTATTATTGCTGTTGTTGCGTTTGTATTCCCTAAGGTTTCACACCATAAACATCAAGTGACAGCAAGCCTTCTCTGTGGCCAAGAAATTACTTCAGTATTCCAACGGATTTTAGTAATGCTGTTGTCTGGGGGGGGGTCTTCATTTCTTCCACAAATTTCCAATTCATCCCTCAATTTCTAGGACTTTCTCGAGAACGCCAGTAATGATGGGCACAATTTCTACTTTGATGTTCAGTAATTTTCACTTATCCCGTGAGAAGATATTTTTCCATCTTTTCGTTTTCTTCCCATTTTATTATTTGTTCTTCTGAATCAGCGACATCCGATTCTTGTTCAAAATGACTCAAAATGAATCTGGTTCTTTCGCCCCATTGACTAATCCATTTCAATTTCAATGTTTTTGAAGACAGATTCTGGTTTGTGTATATATAAAGTTAGTTTTTATGACCGGTGGTTTCCCAAATGCTTGTTGATTACCTGTCTTTCTTGGTCATGTCGCATGTCATTATTTTATGACTGACGACCTCATATCAATTTCCACCACATAGAGATGAGAATTTTATTATTGTCTCCTGTTGCTCTTAGTAGATTGGATCCTAATAGAATTGTTCAGTACTGCTTTTTAAATGGGATTCACTTTCTTTCTTCAAATGTCCTCTGCGCACTACACGATAGAAAGTAATTTTAAAAAGTATGATTATATCATTCGCTCTACAACTATATCCAAGTCGTTTCATTTATGTGTATTTCTTTGCTTTCCCCACTTTTGTTTTTTTTTGTTTTGTTTTTTTTGTTTTTTTTGTTTTTTTGTTTTTGTAGTCTTTTTTTAGAATTTCCCTGTTCTTTATTTGTCGCGTCATTTCCCATTGCAACTCTTGCCAGTTGTAATCTTTCTTTACTCCTTCGGGTAGAAACATCAAATCATTTAATAATGCAATTGACATAAATCTGTTTTCATCAATTCTATTCTCTTCATTTTTCACATCATTCGGGGGCAACACTTTAGACACCTTTCAGCAACTCTGTCTTTTTTCAAATATATATATATATATATATATATATATATATATATATATATATATATATATATATATATATATATATAAGTAACTTTTGCTACAAATAAAACTATTTTCACAACAAATATTAAATTTGATTTAATACTGAAAATCGAAAAAAGTTGAGATTTGATATTTAATTTTGCACGATATGCACTTTCTCATAAATTTTGGTTCGATCGAGTACCAATATCGATAAATCATTCCCAAAATTATTTCACCAAAATATTCCAAAATCAAGAACTGCAAAAAATTATATAGTTCATTTTCAGAAATAACACGACTGAGACAAAATTTTGTTCATATACAAAACAAAATAATATTTTATAAAGAATAAAAAAATTGGTATTTTTAAGAATTAAGTCCAGACTTTGCAATATTATTTGAAAATATAAAAAGTAAGTTTTATCTTGTAAACAACAATAATATACCTATTTGGAGATCAGTTACTATATATATATATATATATATATATATATATATATATATATATATATAGATAGATAGATAGATAGATAGATTAGTATTAATGCACTTGTGAATGAAATTAACCAACTTCTCCCGGAGTTTTATTCCATAATTACATACTGTAATTAAAATTTTCTCGTTGCTGGTATATCATTAGTTTCGGATTCTACTCAATTCTCTACGTGTGGGATAGGTGGGGCATCTGCTTGCGTGCTAATATTTGTACACTTAGAAAATACCGCCAATAATTATGCATACGCTACTACAAAAACTAAAATATATGTACTAACCAACCGTTAATATTATTTACTCCCCACCCCAAATAGCTAACAGATATTTTCTACAAAAAGAAAAGATAAACTTAGTAAACACTAAATTTGTCTCTCCGAGCGGCATAAAAATAACAAACCGTTTTTTAAAAGTTTTTTTATGACTGGGTAATTGAGTCACAAACTGGAAAAAGAAATGGAATGATCTTCTCAAAGTAATGTTCTTATTGATGGGATTAGAGGAAAATCATTATACACAGAGGGGAAACGCTGAAGATGTAAGGACGCTAAATTTGAAATTTAAAAATTTCTATCGTCCGATCTAGACGCACCGCTCAACCGTTTTTATTCGGTTTGCCAACGAATTGTTTATCGCTGTTGTTTTTAAATACTGCGATAACAGAAGTTTTTGTTAAGAAAGGGGAAATTTTTTATGAACCTGGATACAAAAATTCAGAAATCAGAGAACAAAACGACTTACTAGATTTTCGCAGTTTGCCATTCAATTACGCACGATTAATAGAAAGAAATTTATATATCATCGCCCTTGGCTTATACGATGTTCTTTTCTAGTTTACAGTAACAGCAAATATTATCTGTTGAAACTTATTTTATGGAATTTAACATATCTTTTAGTTTTTCAGATATTCTATACATCCAACACATGATCTTACACACCATTACTACTGTATGGAATTCTGTCATAACTGGGTGCCCTATACTTGTTATCTTGTGCCATACTTAAATCAGGAAATTAAATTTCGGTGAAAAATATCCATTATTAAACCTCTTCCGAAAAAGAGAAGGCCTAACTTTGTGTCAAGATCTCTCCAAAAATCCTCCGTTCACCACACAGTTTGAGTTACCCATGTGTGTGTTTTGACATTTTTCACAAGAAAATGCAGCACGAATTAAAATTAGAATTTAGCGCTTACAGCTGTTTTTTTGTTTGTTTTTTTTTATTATTATTATTTTGAGGAATTAGTAAATACAGGGTGCGATGGATAAATTGTCATCTAAATGATGCAAAATGGAAAAT